GTCAGAGAGTATGATGTTCATTTTCGCCAGATATTCGTCTTTTTTAAGAATGACATATATTGGGGACTTGTCACCTCTCCTGACAACTATCTCCTTGTTCTCACGAAGGCTTTTAGCTGCCGCTTTGAGCTCGGGGGACAGTATGGTGCTTCTGTAATTGCCTCGATTCTTTCCTCCTTCTGCAATAAGTTCTGCTTGTAAGGTATCTTTGGTAGTGACCTTCTTTTGTGTCTCGAGGTCGAATATGTCGTCCAACAGAATTTCCAACTCTACTTTCCGGGCCATCTCACTCGGTCTGGACATAACATGACAGTTTATGCCCAGATTTAGGAGAGTGACTAGGTCCTCAGTGAGGTTAATTCCTGCAAGGTTCAGGAATTTTAGTTTACACACACACAACTATAACTGAATAGAGCTTAAACATCTTCGATTTTTTATACCTGCATTTGGGTGAGGTGATATGTTACAACAGTTTTGGATGAGGTGAAAACAAACTTTCAACACAAGACAGAACACGAAACAATGGGTATTGAAGGTAAGAATGGCAGTAATTGTAGAGGGCCTATTGGTCCATATTTCTTGATGCTTCTATATTGGAGCGGATTCTTGAGGTGGGTAGAATATAGTTGTGCATTAATTGGCTGTTGATTGCTGGTGTTGACCTCTTGATGTGTAGTGCCTCGCAAACGTCAAGCCGCCTGCTATCGCTGTATCTATCGATGATTTCTGTGTTGTTTACTAGGATTTCTCTGGCGATGGTTTGGTTGTGGGAAGAGATTATATGTTCCTTAATGGAGCCCTGTTGCTTATGCATCGTTAAACGCCTAGAAAGAGATGTTGTTGTCTTGCCTATGTACTGGGTTTTTTGGAGCTTACAGTCCCCAAGAGGGCATTTGAAGGCATAGACGACATTAGTCTCTTTTAAAGCGTTCTGTTTTGTTTCTGGAGAGTTTCTCATGAGTAGGCTGGCCGTTTTTCTGGTTTTATAGTAAATCGTCAGTTGTATCCTCTGATTTTTGTCTGTAGGGATAACGTTTCTATTAACAATATCTTTCAGGACCCTTTCCTCTGTTTTATGAGCTGTGGAAAAGAAGTTCCTGTAAAATAGTCTAATAGGGGGTATAGGTGTTGTGTTAGTTGTCTCTTCAGAGGTTGCATGGCGTTTCACTTTCCTTCTTATGATGTCTTCGACGAAACCATTGGAGAAGCCGTTGTTGACTAGGACCTGCCTTACCCTACAGAGTTCTTCGTCGACTTGCTTCCATCCTGAGCTGTGGCTGAGAGCACGGTCGACATGAGCGTTAACAACACTCCTCTTGTACCTGTCTGGGCAGTCACTGTTGGCATTTAGGCACATTCCTAAGTTTGTTTCCTTAGTGTAGACTGCAGTGTGGAAACCTCCGCTCCTTTCCATGACTGTTACATCTAGAAAGGGCAGCTTCCAATCCTTCTCCATCTCGTAAGTAAAACGCAACACAGAATTCTGCTCAAATGCCTCCTCCATGACGAGTTGTGTTGTACATAATACTACCATAAACATATGTATATTAACTATAATCATTGCACCTCTGAGTGTTAACTAGTGTCTACACCAACCTAGGGTAATTTTGAGGAGCTAACCACATCCATAGACACTGAATTTTCCTCAAATCATTAGTGTGTGTGTATGATTATATATTGTGTGTATTTTTTTCAAATGATAAGCAGCTCTAGTTCAGATACTAGTAGCCGCCCAAATCCAAGTCCAACAAGACTTGGCCCTAGTACAACTGCAGCAAGGCCAACAAAAACTACCAAAATGTCTACTGCAAGAAAAGTAAAAGTGACCCTCGCAGCTATGAAAGGCCATTTAATCAGACACATCAATAAATGTAAGAATTTATGTAAACTAATTCCAGTTAATCTTGTAGAACTGGAGGACTGCCTAAGGTTCATAAGGTTGCCAAGAGAAAATTTGAACAAGAAAGAATCCAAATACAGAAATATCAGGATGTTCTTTCTGACACTACGATAAATGAAGCAACAATGGAGACTGGCATACAAGAACATGGAGATTATGAAAATACAATTCAAATTACGTTACAACACATTGTCAATGAAATAATGCCTTGCAAGGCAATAACAAACGTTGCAACCACAGCTTCCCAAAACCTGACACAACCAGAAGTCAAACTACCATCACTTAGTCTACCAACTTTCTTTGGAACAGGGGATAAAAATTATTTATATTCTAATGCCAATATAGCTAAGACAACCAAATTTACATATTTGCAGGCCATTTTAAAGAGTGGAGCGTTAAAGGTGGTCTGTAATTAAAAATTGTCAAATTTTTGACAATCAAATGACGGCTATGATAGCACAGTACAGCTCCTTAAGGAAAATTATGCTAAACCAGAATGAGCTATCAGACTTTCAACTAAAAAAATTATGGATATTCCCGCAACAGATGGATCCACTGACTCCAAACCTTTAGATTGGAGCTTGAATCCTTACTCAAAGCATTTAGCATTAAAGTAACTCTAGATGAATCGGATTGGTTAATCCAATTTCTTATGAGATGCCAATTACCCAGTGGAATACTGGATAAGTTGTGTGCTTTACATAACAAATCTTCTCTGACAGTAAAGGAGATTACTGAAAGTTCATGCTCTGTCATAGAATGACAGAGACAACACAGAAGGTAAATCAACATCTAAACCTTCATTAACAACTCATAGTATACAACAGAGTACAAACAGTACTCCAAATAAATCTAAACAAACTACCTCCACCCCAAGGTGGAAGCAAGGCAGTGTGGGCACATATGCAATGGCTCCAAACAAAACTACAGTTAATGTGTCACCCAAAATGGTGACTCCCTAAGGTGCTGTTAACGTCTGAAGGCCATGTTTGTTCTGTGAAGAAGAACATTCTATGTACAACTGTAAAACTTACCCTGGTCGTGCTACATATGTAAAACAACTCAAGGAGTTGCACAGATGCATGAGGTGTCTAAGGTCACATTACCTCGATACCTGTCCCACTCAAATGCGCACCTGCAATAGGTGCATTAAGGGTCAACACCATACAGCACAGTGTGGGGACTCAAGTACAAACTCTCCTAAACCACAGGTGGAGGAAGGAACTTCCACTTCAGTACAGCTCTGTAAAGTACTTCCAGATGTAAGTGTACTATCAACAAAGTCTGATCATAAATCAGCTTTACTCACTGCCCAATTAATCCTCAAAAATGAAAAGTCCAAGGTCACCATACATGGATTATTTGACCAAGGATCTCAAATGACTTTTATCTTAAAAGAGTTAGTAGATGCCTTGAACTCAAGTCTGTACGAGAGACAAAAATAGACATAGCAGGATTCCTGACTAACTCGGAAGTCCGAGTCTTCAAGGTGGTACAACCTAAAGTATGCTTAGACAGTTATGTTTGAACGATACAGGCTTCCCCTCAGATGACAAATTCCCCTCAGACCTGTATGTATATGGTCTAGGAACAACAACCAAATTCATGGAAAAAAGGGAATCAAGTTGGCTGACAATATCACGTCTGCCAACCTCTCCAATATTGGTATCCATATTGGTTGTTACGAACCCGGATCCGACGTCCGAGCACGGAGCAGTGACGACCGCGCCATCTGTGGGTCAGCTCCCGAAACCCCCGCCAAACGGACGACGACACCTGGTGAGGACGGTGAATACTGGCCACAAGGGCCAGTTTCCAGTCCTGTGCAGCTCACAACACCGCCGCTGCTGACCTCTGGTGAGGTGGTGCACAGACACTACCGCCATCTATGGAGTGGATAGGTGGGCGTTTGTGTCTGAGCCTGTAAGTGAGGTGCCTTAGTGTGTCCCAGTTATTGATGACGTGTCTGCTTACAGAGTCGACCTGGGACTGCTGTGATGGAAGTTGAGTCAGTCTACCCAAGGCAGCCGTCTCCATACCTTGTGCTTTGCTGCAGCTGCTGTGAAGTCGTCCCCCGGAAGAACACTGTGGTGTTACCCTGCCAGTGGAGTGGCAGTAGAAGGATTACCCGGGACCGACTGCTGGAGACGTTTTTCCACTGGGGTATTGAGGACAGGAGAGTGATTTTGTGGTGTCACACGAGGCTCCTGTCTTGGGCGTTCCCCTTATATCGCTCGTGGAGTGGCCTGACCAGCCTTGCTGATCCGGAACCTGCCAGCGAACCTGCTGGACGTGTGGTGCCCCCAGTGGACCTGTGTTTTGGCAGCCCTGAGGCCAGGGTAGGCTCAACTTCTCAGAAGAGTTCGTCAAGAGACCACGAAAAGCACCGAGGACTCAGCCCCGAGAGTTTTGCTCCAGAGCCTTCAGCAGAAGGCAATTGTGTATTTTCCCCTGTACAGTGTTAATACCCCTCCCTCTGTGCACTTTTATATATTATTTATTTGGTGATGGGAACAATTATAGTCTTAAGTTCTTAACTTTCTTTCCCTTCCCCCTTTAAGTTTCTTGCGTCACGGATCACATCCCTTGAAAGCCACTACTGGCTTGGGGTCGGATATAATTTCCTCTAACAACATCAGAGCAAGAACCCCGTTGCGTCCCGAGAGGGCCGTAACATGGTTCAGATGTCTACCATAGGTTTATCAAAGGAAAAGAGGAAAAATAGGGAATGAACCTGTTAATGTCTGCAGGTGGCTACTTGCTAACAGGCCCAGTATTACGGCTGAAGCAACCCATACCTGTAGACCACCAACAAGCCAACCCAGTGATGGTTTCATGACTAGGAGAACAGTCACCACTACACTTCAGAGACATGTCCAAGGATGACCTTGATCCCCCTGTACATAAATAATGGGATTTAGCAACTCTTGGCATTGTTCCTGAACAAACTAGTCTGGATTATGACCGGACTTACAAACAATACCTGGACTCAGTTGTCCACAGAGATAAGCAATACTGGGTCAGGTTACCATGGAAGCTGAATCACCCTCAGCTACCTGTCAACCATTTCATGGCACAAACCCAATTAAGGTCACAGGTGATGCGCTTACAAAGACATCCTGAGAACTTGAAATTGTACCATGATATTATACGGAAACAACTTGATAACAAGTTTATCGAGGTTGTAACAAATGATGACCAACAAGAAGGACACTACCTGCTGCACCACTCAGTACTGAAAAATTCAGCTACTTCTCAAATAAGGATAGTATTCAACTGCTGTGCTAAGACTAAGCAAAGTAGTGTTTCCTTAAATGACTGTCTTCAAACTGGCCTTTGCCTGACACAAAGGCTATACAACGTGGTGTTAAAGTTCCGCATCGGGACTTACGCTTATACAGCCGACATCAGCAAAGCCTTCCTTAGAGTAGGTCTCCTAGAAGAAGACCGTAACTACATCAAGTTCCTATGGATCAAGGATACTAACGATCAAAACAGTGAATTAATTGCTTACAGATTTGCGTCTGTTTTGTTCGGTACTACTACTTCACTGTTTGTGCTTCAAGCTACCTAAGACATGCACTTGAAGAAGTCTAATAGCCAAGATAAAACTGAAATTAGCAACAACTTGTATGTGAAGAATTTCCAAGGAACAACCAGCAGTGAAAGTAAACTACTGAACATATATGATGAGGCCAATTGCGAATTATTGGGAGCAAATATGCCTCTCCAGTAGTGGGTCTCCAACAATGCCAAATTAAATCAAATGATCGAATCAGAATTTCCCAACTACAAGGTACCCCAGAAGACAAAGGTACTAGGAGTCGAATGGGATATGACTGCAGATCAGTTGACAGTTAAATCGGTGGAGCCAGATACCACCAACCTACCAGTGAGAAAATTATTATCACAAGTCAGCAAACCCTTCGACCCATTGGGACTATTATGTCCAATATTGATAAATGGAAAGTTGATAATGCAGGAATGTTGGCAACAGAATTTAGGCTCTGATGATCTTCTAACACCTGCTTTGCAAGAAAAATGGCAAGGACTAGTGAAAGATTTAAGTATCCTAGAGTCTGTCAAAATCCTGCGGAACACAGTATATGAAAGAGAACCAATTAAGCTACATGTATTCTGTGATGCCTCAGGAAAAGTTTATTGGACAGTAGCGTACCTGGTTTCAAATGGGCAAGCCAATTTGCTCACATCAAAGGTCAGAGTGGTACCATTAAAGAAACAAACATTGCCACAACTAGAGTTAACAGCCTTACTGTTAGGAGATTGATTGGCTCATTATTTGATCAAGGCCTTAAGCAACATACATTTTGAAGAAACAGTGGTATGGTCAGATAATGAGGCAGTACTACAATGGGTGAAAAATAATCACAGTAAAAATCCTTACGTGAGTAACCGCGTTAAGGAAATACGAGAGTTATCAGCAGGGTACAAACTGAAATATGTACCCACCAACGAGAATCCAGCTGACTATCACTCCCGAGGCCTGACTTAGCGTCAATTAACCAAATCAGAGATGTGGTTCATTGGACCTCAGTGGCTAGTCAGTGACCAGTGGTCTGAACAAAAGCCACACGTCATTGTGACCAATGTCACTGTTCCTACTGAGAATCCAGAAACACCTCAGACTTTGGAAATTGATCCTAATCGGGACTCTGAACTGAATAAATTAAAAGGTGTCACCCAAGTGATTGTTTGATTTTCTAAAGAAAATAGGATTCAAGCATCAATTCCCAAGTGCCTTAAGGTACTGGGTTAAAAAAGGCTTAACAGACACATTCTGGATAGAATTTGACAATGTCCCAAAAAACTTCAAAATGATCTGAGTCTCTGGATAGACAGCAGCAATTATAACCTAATAAGATGCAGAGGCTGCTTACAGCATGCAAACATAGACCTGTAAACAAAAAATCTAATTTTGCTTCCTCGTCACCACATAATAAGCAAGCTAATTGTATTACACATACACAAAGTACTTGACAACAGTACAACAAAGACTTAAGACAACAGTACTTGCTGCCCCAAGGTAGGCAGACTGTAAAATCCATAATTAAATCCTGTGTTATTTGCCGGAGATACGATGCCAAAGTGTGTCCACATCCGGGACTTCCTCCACTCCCAAAGGAACGAGTTGTACATATTTGTCACTTTGAGACTACAGGAGTAGATTTCACAGGAGCACTAACACTGACATGCACCAAGGACAAAATTCCAATGATGGCATATATCTGTCTATTCATTTGTGCCACAACAAGGGCAGTACATCTATAAGTGATTCCCTATATGAGTGCCGAGGCATTCTTACAGGCTTTCCGCAGGTTTCCTTCCACGTAGATCCTGTCCTAAGTTAGTGATCTCAGACAATGGGCCCAACTTAGAGGCAGGAGAAGGATGTCTGAGGAAAATCTGGAACCAGCCAAAGGTACGCACTGCTTTTAATCAACGGCAGTGCCACTGGAAATTTATACCTCCTAGAGCGCCATAGCACGGAGGCTTCTATGAACGCATGATTGGTACAGTGAAACATTCTCTACATAAAACCCTACACCGCCAAAAGATTGACCTGCAGGAGCTCCAAACCGTTGCCATAGAGATGGAAGCTCGCGTCCACCACTTACCGACCACTTACCTACCTTTCTGAAGATGTTTCACAACATGACTCATTAATTTAAGTCAAGCTCATCTGATGTATGGGGGTCCTCTAAGAACTCTAGTGTCCCTTACAGGCGAGAAACCAGAAAAACCTTCATATGGCCAAGAGAGTGACTTGGTTCAACATTTCAAACATCTTTCAGGAGTGATAAGTCGTTGGAATGACGTATGGACTCGAGAATACCTTACTTTTTTTTTTAGATATATACAAGAGTTGTTACATTCTTGTACAGCCACTAGTACATGTTGTGTTTTGGGCAAGTCCCTGGCATACGACCCCCACGAAGACTCGTTTTTTTTACAACGAAGTACCCATTTTACTGTTGAGTTAAACAGAGGGTGCAATTAAGGATTTGCACCCAGTAAATCCTCCCTGGCCAGGATACGAACCCATGATAAAGCACTCGTGGAACGCCAGGCGAGTGTCTTACCACTACACCACGGAGACTATTAAATACTGCTCTGAGGGAGTATCACTACAGGGCAAACAACCCGTACAACAGAATTAACTTGAACCCTGGTGACATAGTTGTGGTGTACGGCGATGGACCATGTTCAGAGTGGCCAACAGGCCAAATAGTTTCTGCTTATTCAGACCGTCAGGGCATCTTGAGAATAGTGACAGTAAAATGCCGAGGCAATACTACTCTCGAAACTTTAGAGAAATTAGTTCCTTTAGAACTGGCAAGAAAAGAACACATTCCACGACTTCCAGATCCCGAAGCGTCAGTATGGGACATTCGTCCCCAGCGGACTGCTGCATGACATGACAAGCTCAAATTAAAGAACCTCTATAATTCTGAGGGTGAGAAATAAAGTGATTGCAGTCCTTTCTGGGACTTTGACCCATACCTCCCCCCCCCCCCCGGAATAATGTCGGAAATCCTACACACATAATAATATAAGTTACCCTTTCAAGGAAAAGAGAATATTTTTTTCGTGATGTCATCAACAACACATAAATATATTAAACTATCATCTCTTTTAAAACTTCAGTCTAATGTTTAAACTTAATAAAATAGTATTCACTAGGACTGAATGTAATTAAATAAACAACAAAGTATAGTTTTGCTCCCTTGTTACTGTTGAATGGATTCATAAATAGAACATCAAAACATTTTAGGGACATCTCCCCTGAGGAAGGAGGCGTCGGTCACATACACACAACTTGTAGTAAACACACTGTTACGGCCCTCTCGGGACGCAACGGGGTTCTTACTCTGATGTTATTAGAGGAAGTAGTATCCGGCCCCAAGCCAGTAGTGGCTTTCAAGGAATGAGATCCGTGACGCAAGAAACTTAAAGGGGGAAGGGAAAGAAAGTTAAGAACTTAAGACTATAATTATTCCCATCACCAATAAATAATATATAAAAAGAGTACACAGGGGGAGGGGTATTAACACTATAGAGGGGAATTATTCACACAATTGTCTTCTCCTGAAGACTCTGGATCCACGCTCTCGGTGCTAAGTCCTCGGTGCTTTCGTGGTCTCTTGACGAATCTTCCGATCAAGCTGAGTCTACCCCAAACACAGGCCAGCCAAAACACAGTTACACTGGGGGCACCGCCGTGGAGGCCGTCAACCACAAGTCCAGCAGGTCTGCTGGCAGGTTCTGGATCAGCAACGCTGGTCAGGCCACTCCACCTGCGATACTAGGGTAGCGCCCTAGTCAGGAGCCTCGTGTGATACCACAAATCACTCTCCTGTCCTCAAAACCCCAGTGGATGACCGTCTCCAGCAGTCGGTCCCAGGTAAGACAATCCTTCTACTGCCACTACACTGGCAGGGTAACACACCACAGTGTTCTTCCGGGAGACGACTTCACAGCTGCTGCAGCAAGGCACAAAGTAAGGGGACGGCTGCCTCGGGTAGATTGACTCAACTTCCATCACAGCAGTCCCAGGTCGACTCTGTAAGCAGACACGTCATCAATAACAGGGGCACTAAAACACCTCACTTACATGCTCAGACACAAACGCCCGCCATATCCACTCCATAGATGGCGTTGTAGTCTAAGCACCACCTCACCAGAGGTCAGCAGCGACGGTGTTGTGAGCTGAACCGGACTGGAAACTGGCCCTTGTGGCCAGTACACCTTGTCCTCACCAGGTGTCGTCGTCCATTTGGTGGGGGTTTCGGGAGCTGACCCACAGATGGCGCGGTTGTCACTGCTCCGTGCTCGGACGCTGGATCCGGGGCCGTAACACCTCCCCACCAAAAGAATTTGGTTTGGGTTTCTATAAAAGAGAAGACAAACCAAATTAGTACGTGGATCTAGACGCGAGATAATGCATCAGCTACTACGTTGTTCACCCCTTTGATGTGTTCAATCTGGAGGGGATATTGTTGCAGATGTAGACTCCATCTGGTGAGCCTGAGGTTCTTTTGCCTAAACTGAGCCAGTAACTTTAGAGGGTTATGGTCGGTCCGTACTAATATAGGATGACCATTACTTGTTAGATACACCTCAAGTGCTGGACGGAATTAATTAAGGCCAACGTTTCTTTTTCTATGACTGAGTAGTTAAACTGGCTGGGGGTGAACTTTAGAATGATAAGCCACAGGATGTTCCACCCCCTTTTCGTCCGTCTGGGATAATACGGACCCCAGGCCATAGTCAGAAGCGTCGACCGTCAGGATAAATCTATCCTCAAAGCTCGGGGACCTGAGGATTGGAGAGGAGATTAGAATTGCTTTGAGACTCACAAATGCCTTCTGGCAATTCTCATTCCATATTAATTTCACCCCCTTCTTCAACAGATTAGTCAGGGGGGCGGCGATGGAGGAAAAATTAGGGACAAACTTACGATAGAAACCAGCCATACCAAGGAAACGCAAGATGTCCTTCCTGGTAGCTGGTGTAGGATACTGGACTATTGCCTCTACCTTGCTGGCCTTCGGC